CGCATTGAGCAATTTGTGTCGCTTCAACTTGGTTGGTTGATCTTCGCTTGGATTCCACTAGAAGTTGCAACTTCGTCCAGGTAAGACCTGGCATGGGCATCTGAGCAAATGCGGAAAAAGAGCGGGTGATATATATATATATGTTTTTCAAGCAAAAAAGTGCTAATGATGCAGCTGGCCCCGGGCAGCACCATTCAAACGTCAAAGTCAACTCAAGATGGACCTCCCTGTGCCTGCAACAAAATCTGACATTTGTTTTCTCGAGCATGCTCAAAGTCAGGTCATCTTCACAATGTTTTGGGTGATGATCTTTAAAACTTCGAAAACACAGCATTCTAAAGCAAAAGACAGCCCCCCAAACTAAAACTTAATGAGCGATCCAGCAATTGTAGCAGCTCATGCGGACTGAGACAACGCCTCAGCACCTTCGGTGCGGGTGGAGTTTGAAGCAATATCAAATGGTCAGAATTAGCAAACATGCTAAGGTTTGTTGTGGTGTGCGCAATCAAGCATTCTTGGCTTGACGTGGTTTGGCCTTTCGATCACCTGGAATCCCTTGATCCAATGAAGGAACATATCCATGCATTGGGCACACCGGAAATGCAGTGGAGGAACGCATTTTCTTCGAATTGTGGCAATACCTCCAAAAGGTTTGGTGTGGAACTCCATCGCATTTGCCACTGTTACCGTGCGATGATTCTTTGATGAAGTGGACATGGATGTGTTGGCATAACTGCCACGTTTTCGAGAACCATGACCTTTGGTTGTAGCAAAACCGACTTAAGAAGGCCTTCCACAAAATCCCTCCCATCCGTTCTTGCAAAACCTTTTGGCGAATTGGCTCTGGACCAAGCTGGACATGGAGGTGAACCAATCGAAAGATCAACATCGCCTGCGAACTGCCTACATCATTGCGAAACACCATCATGTCATCATGAGACCAAAATTAGGCTCTTTGACGGGACGTGGGACATGGTTTGATATGGATCTGCTACGCATAATTTGTTGCAAACGTCTCTGCTGCCTCACGATTCTGATCGATGGCTGCCACTGAATGGATAGGGACATTCATCTCTTTCAAGCACTTGATAGCTCGGGACCATCCTGAAAACCCTCCGAAAAGAGCTCGATAGTGCGGAGTGCGGAGAGAGAATTGGGACCCCTTCTGAGTGAAAGTAGGAGGCTGCACGACGGTGAGTCATGTCAACATGGAAACCAGGATCCCAGCTGGAGATTCTTGCATCTTGTATGGATGCCCAGTTGGTCCCCCTGTCAGGTCTTAATGTGACTACAGGCCGGTCTGATCACACCATGACCAAGGAATGAACCAGAAAGGACTTTCTCAGGTGGTATGACTATGATTGGACATCCGACAGTGACTGTATCCCGGTCTTCCGATACGACTCCCTGAGTTCGGATCGCGGCAGCAAAACCTTCCGCACGACAAAGACGAACTTCTGTCAGTGGTCTACAGACCGTCAGTCCTCTCACAATCGAGGCCAAAGGTTCATCTGGTCCCATACGCTCTGGGCCTGGATGACTCGCTTTGCCTATCCTTGTAGCCAGAAGTCAATCAAATCTACTTGCAGCGCCGACATGGTCAAATCTGAAGGTCTGATTTGTGAGATAGCAATCGATGAGTTGGCTCCACATCTACCTGTTTGGGAAGATGGATTTTGTGACATTTGTTCTTTCTGTTTACAGTACTGCCTGCCACACAGAACTGCTCACATCGGTGTGTCTGCAAAAGTGCCTTCGGATAGGATCAATTGAGAATCATGTGTGCACCTTTGCTATGAACCGATTGACTCCCAATGTGGTTGACCAACTGGCTTTGTGCTTGTCTGCAGCCATGACACCGTCATGTCGGTAAATGGAAGCCAAGTAACTTGTTCCCCCATGAGAAATCCCAAAAACATGGAGAATCCACACATTTCCTCTGGGCATTCACAAGCTATGAAATGTGCATGGACATTTTGCATGTCAATCTGAAGCAACCACTTCAGCTGATGAAGAAAAGCATTGACCTCTGTTGAATCATGATTGGGGAAGGTACGTTTGGTGTCGTAACACTCTGACCGCAAACCAGTGAAATTTGGTTTCAATCAGGACCACCAAAGCACTTGCATGTGACAACTTGATCCTATTGCCAAAATACAGTGCAGTCCACCTTCTTGGTGATTCCATTGGAGACATGGCGCAAACATAGTATGTTGGACAAAAGGTTGATAGATTTGCATAATGAAATAGAGCTCATCAGATCCCGCCCATCCAGGTTGCAAACAAAATGCCTGCAAGGGATCGGGAACGGCCCCTGTCGCCCCCTGGGTTGGCATGTGAAACGTGTTCAGCGGCTGTCCCGCAGCAGAGATGGCCAGGAAATCTAATCTGGTGTGAATGCCCGCATCCAAATGAAGCAAGTTGGTCAGAAAAGATAGCCGAACAGTATGTGCCACTTGCTGTAAATCATGAACTGCCCCGGTGATCGCCCATGCATCAGCTGACTGTTGAAGAGCCCTTCGAATGATATCGCTGTTGACCTCGGATAAGGCCTGCAGTTGACCATACTCTTGGAAAGAGTTGTGAGTTTGCGTCAGCACCGACCACCTCCATATCAACCCTGATCCACAGATGTCAGGAGGTGTGGCGTCAAGTGCACGTGAGATGATCAACCGATGCGCCGGAATCTGGAGCCCCCAGTATCTACAGGCACACTAGGTAGGCCGCTTGATCCATTGATCCCATGTTTATCTTTTGCGGTCTTGTGCGGCTTCTTGTAAAATGATCTTGTGTTTCATCGCCTATCGAAAAGCATGATGGCCAGAGGCCCACAATTGTGGCAACGATCGCATCTCTAAGATCACTATATATCTTTTCTCAAGACATGAGGAATTGCCACAGACACCTTCTTAGCGAGGTTGATCTGGTCCTTCTTGCTTCCTGTCCTATGAGGTCAAGCATCTTTGCAAGGAGGGAACTGAGTGTCAAAATCTGTCTCTGCACACTAGCCTTCTTCAAAAGACCTGTGGTCCATGGCTCCACAGTCCAAATTGACCGAGAGGTATTGGTTCGGTGTCCATGAAGGCGCTACATACACTTTACATGACTTGATTTCCTCCAAGGCAGGATCTTCCACCGCTACCCATTTGTCGCATCCGCCTGTTTTCGTCCGACTTAAAGTAATCGTCTCTGGACGGCATCGGGCAGCTTTTTTTCGATTCTTGATCACTGGCATAAACCTCAACCGAACATAATGACTTCCCAGGACAATCAGGTCTGAAGTTTCTGCCAGGATCCTCAAGTCATACAAGGTCACCTTTTCATATCCCAGGAATTTTGTCTTGGATATATGGCAATGGATGCTTTTAATATCTTTGCATGGCATGGCCCAATCCACACCTGGGTCAGACCCGGGAACCAGGCACGGTCAACGCTTGGACCAACCACAGTGGCTCTCGACCTGCAAAACACAGGGAGCCTTGGGAGTCTGGAATCCAGATTAGTCAAGTGCAGTTGAACAATGCCCATGTCGTTTTGCATCTGGGTTGATCTTGTATACAAAATCAGAAAATCTGCAGTGAAAATATTTTTGTCCATTGGGGCTGACCAAGTCCAAAGACACTCACCATCTGCAAGGATAGTGCATCTGTACAAAAATCCACACCATTCCACATGCAACCACCCCACACCCAGATTTAGATCCAAAGACCCGACTCACATCACAATTGGTGAAAAGCTGATGTGACAGAAATTTTGTCCTTTGGGGCAGACCATTTTCACTGAAATATACTGAAATATGTTTGTTCCAGGGTCACTCCTCATACACAACCCCACCATCCAGACTCATCCCCAAAGACTGGACTCACACCACAAAGTCAGAAAATCTAAGGTGAAGCTATTTTGATCCATTTTCTAGGGCTGACCAAGTCCAATGACATTCACTTTGTGCAAGGATGAGCTATGATGCAGTGCCCCCACAAAAAGGGTAATTTCTTTTAACAAATAAGGAGACCTGTTTTAGTAGGTTTTCGTGCCACAGTTGCTTCACGCAGCGTTCTGCATCAGTTCACCGTCTCTTCTTGTCACTGCATGTGGAAGTTGTTTTTGAGGTGGGGGGGGTTAGGGGACAGGAAAAATCTGTCACTGTTAAGAAGTTGTTTCTCCATGTTCCTGGACGTAGGGGGTTAGGATTCAATTTTCAGGTCATTGCACTCTCTCCTGTATCTGCTTGGCGTTGAGGGGTTGGCCACATTGGATAAAACTTCCCACTCAGAAAATATTTCCAGTGTGAGGGCCCCCCCTTCCAGTCCACAGGAGGATTCTTTTTTGAGAGTTGTTGATATTCACAAGTTCTCTTGCTTCAGAATACTAAAAACTTTAAGGGAACTGAATTTTAATCTTGCTCCGAGAGTTGCTTTTTCCTTGTGCGCAAGTTTTCATCCTCAGATGTGAAACACTTGGTGATAGCTCGACACTTGCTTGTTCACAACACGTTGCCGACCTCATCCAGAATCCTCACCTGTCAGAAGTGTCCTCCTTGAGACACATCTCTTGTTCACTGGCTTTAGTATCTACTCCGTTACTACAATAGTTACTTCGAATGATTATATAGTAGTTATGTTTTCTTTGCGAAGGGTTCAAAGGAGATTACTAAGAGAGTCTCTTTGCAAGAGGTTTTTTCCTTTATTACATCTACATCCATTGACATGCACCATTCAAAAAAGCATCAAGTCTTTTTTGTAAGGTCTTCCGCTAGGAACTCTTGATTAAAAGAGACTACAAATTCAAAGTATCCTCAGCACATACTTCCTTTCAATTGGATCCCCCTTTCTCCAATTTTTTTTTGTTAGGCATTCTCCTTTGTAAAGCAGAAAACACCTTTAAACGTAGACGCAATCGAATATTATTCATGATTAATCAATCCTACAGAATCCCACTGCTCACAACAGTCTCCCTCCCGTGTCCAAGATACGACATTGTTCTGAGTTCTGCAATCCTAGGTCTGTGCCAAGATGGACGGCAGCCTTAGCCTTACATTGCAGGGCCGCCGGTGGCGCGTGGCAGCCAGAGAGGAGTTGGAAGGTCGGATCAAAGTAAGCAGTGTACGGAAGGGTCAACAGATATATAGTTGCTCAGATAGCTACACAATGATTCGTTGGTTGTAGCGCCGAGTTGCTTGGTGGAAGAGAATGTACTGTAATTGGTTTGAATTGAATTGCCACTTGCAAATGTTTTGCAGAAGATATTGCCAGAGATTTGGAGTGACCTGTGGGCTGGATCACTGCAAGTTGTGTGCATGCCATGGAATCCATGCGTGTGAGCCTCATGGAGTCCATCAAAATTGTTTCTGAGAAGAGTAGGGCGTCATGATCGTGGGCCGCATTAAAGCAGCTACTGCAAAGAAGGGATTTTGAGTTTGATCGGCGTGGCCTGCTTGCAATTCGAGATGGGTTTGGACAGGCTCTTTTCCATTTCAGGCTATTCAAAGACGAAGAAACACGTTCTGTATGTCTTGCTTTCTGTGTTTGGACACATGACAGCTGATTGTCGAGTCGGTTTCTTTATCCTTATCCAGTTCACCAGCTTCTCGGAGGAAACTCTCAAACTGTTTTGCCAAATTTCTCGCAAACTGGCCCCAAGTTTATGCCCCAACTCCAATGACCACCACAGAAAATCAAGCAATAAGCTCAGGCCCACGAGGCCAATTGGGACACCAACGCTTGTGAGACCGAGCTTTCAAAACTTCTCACAACAAAGAACAACGAAGATAAAGTGTTTTGCCTTTAAAGGAGGGGGTAGGCCGCGAGTGGAGTAGTAAGAGGCAGCACTATCCTGCGTCTATTCATTTGGTTCCTAGGGAAACTTAACATTTTGTTTCCTTAGGTTGTGGCGGATTGTGTAAAAGGCTCACCAGCCAGCACATGGGCAGATGCCACCGCAGGGCACTTTGGGGCGTTTGGGCAAGCGCGGCTCATGTCGCTGCAGCGACACATGTGTGTATATATATATATATACATACGCATTTTTGCAGTTTGGTTTAGTGTCGTGCTTGTTGTGATATGTACGAAGAGATGCCACTTGCCACCTTTGACCAAATCCACAGTCAGCGTGTTGATGCACCTTGAAGGTGTGCAAGCCGATGCGCTTGCTAATGGCTTTGCAGATACTCAGCTTGATGATTTAAGCACTTTTGTGCCCATGTCGACATTGTTTTCATGGCGAGGCAGACCTGAATCCGGTCCGTGGTCAGAGCAAAAGTCGTGCAGGAACTGTAGATCTAATGGCTGGGAAATGCTATCCGGACTGCCTTTTCGACGACACTTTTGATGCTCCAAGTGTCTGAAAACTTCTCGCAGCCATCAGCCTCGCTTTGATATTTTTGAATGGAGGTTTTTTTTGCTTCTCCCCTTTTATCAATCAGAGTTTTTTTTTGTCGAAGATCTACTATTGCACAGGATGCTTCATCCGTGGACAGGTCAGTGGGCAGGTCAGGGAGTCAGTGGGCAGGTCAGGGAGGGGAAGGGCAACTTTTATCCAAGCTTACCAAAATTATATTTTGATGCGTGCAACAGATCAGTCTTCAAAAGCCGCAGCTGGAATGCAACCTAGGATTTGAAAGCTCCATGCACTGTGGTCCTGGAATCAGATGAGCCGGAGAATTGTTCCTGAGCTGTACTGCTCGAAGGTGCGTAGAAGGTGCCATTTAGCAAGAGTTGAGGCATCGATTTGTTCACATCTGAGGCGGCAATGATCATGTGGTAGCTGTGACTTGGTCACTCAAAACTGGCAAGAAACGTTGACCTGCGCAGGGGTGCTTGGAACGTAGAGCTGTGTGACTAATTTCAAATCCAGCCAAGGTGAATCTGACAAGACCGCTGGATTCACCACCAGATCGTGGATTAGTGGAAAGGGCGATGCGAGAAGCACCACTTGCATGTTATTATTTGTTGAAAGCTTGATTCGTTCGTTCTGCCAACGGAGTAAAGGTAAAGGTAGCGCGGTCTGAAGGAAAAAGGGAAGGGGAAAAGGGTATGGAGATGTCATTAGATCATGTGGCCTTTTTAAGGAAGCTGAATAAAGCGTTGCAACTTCCCCAGAAGCTATCTATAAGGGGAGTTGCGGCAATGCCTCGGCACGGCAAGTTTTATATTTTTTGGGGGCTTGGCCGTGAAGGTGGAGGGTAAAAAACTATATGAAGCTACTAGAACCTGGATGCAGAAGGGATCAGAAACCTCAGGCAGGCAAAATTCCAAAAGCAACAGAGCAGAGCTGACTGTGCTTGTGAGCCGTTGCCCCTTGCTTTCATTCTCAAGGTGGAGCTGTTCAAATGGATGCCGCGTCTAAAGAAAGGGCAGACAATCCAACGTTCCCAGGTTCCCCCACAACTCGAATCTTGAAGTGGTGCAAGGCATTTGGATAATTTGGACCCCCGAAAAATGCACAATTTCAAGGGTCAACACATATCCCAACAATGCTTGCAAATCATTTGTAAGGGGGTCCCAACATAGAGTGATTATAGAGAATCATAACTAAAAAAATTGTAAGAGGGTCCAACAATGGGGTGATGATAAACACTTCTCCAAATATCATTCATCCACTTCATGCTGCCTTCATCTCTAAGAATTCCTGCACATGGTATAGTTTATTGTATATATCCACACTATTTTTCGACCCCCTTTGAAATCGTACATATTTGAGGGTGCCCAAGTTATATTCAATTTCAAGCATTGTTGGATATAATTTGGACCCCTGAAAAAATGTACAATTTCAAGGGAGTGGAACATATATCCAAATGATGCTTGCAAGTTGCAAGTAAGACAGAGCAGAACACACATTAAAGAGATACAATAGAGTCATTATATATATATATATATACTTCAATGTTTTTTCATCCACTTCATGATGCGTTCATCTCTAATCCTTGTCTTGATCATGCACATTAGTTTATTGTGCATAATCACTATTTTTCGAAGCCCTTGAATTTCAACGGAGTCGAACAAATAGATCCAACAATGCCTGCAAAGTGCAAATAAGACATGACTAAACAATGTATCAAAGGGTCCAAAAATAGTGTGATTATAGAGACTTATACTTACTGCGGGCGAATAAGGCCCACGATACTCTTCGCAAGTCCTTTTCGGCAGCGTTTGATTAGTAGGTTTCCACGCTACTAGTGTGCAGGCATTTTGTACAAAAAGCTTTACACTTGCAACCAGCTGATGCATATGCTACCACAGTAGATTATACAAGTGCAGCCAGCTGATGCGTATGATGTGATCCTGAAAGGGCGGATTTCCACACGTCAGGGGTCGCGACAACTTCGAGATTTCAAGTCAGACGGTAAGTTTCAATGTATTAGTGAACATGATTGTTGTTTTGCCACAGCGCAAATCGCAGTTGGGAAGTGGAGAACTCCACGCCACACTGACCTGATGATTAGTTCATAGATGCCGGAAATCGCTTCTGGGTTATTCTGCAACTCCATGTGCCCCACTATGTCAGATTTGCAAGAAATATCGAAAAGCCAGCTCAGCCGGGGCCTTTGTGCATCGAACATGTATCGCAGTGTTGCATTTTTGCAGCTGTAGTTGGGGAAAGAGCTGGGAACATTTGAGGTGGAGATCACCCATTTCATTGGTGGGCCGTGCCAAGAAGAGGAATTGAATCTTGCCAGGAGTAAGGTCCGTGAGCATGACACTCTTGGCAAGAACGGGTTGCGTTTCGTATTTTTCGCCAGATAGCGAAGCTATGGGGTTCTTACTTCAAATAGCAATGAGCTGCCTGTGCGCGCTTTCGAGACAGGTTGCCGGTGCTGGTGCTGGTGCTGTGAGCTGGCTGTGCAGGTGCTGGGTGCCGGGTGCCGGTGCTGGTGCTGGTGCTGTGAGCTGGCTGTGCACGTGGTGGAGACAGGGTGCCGGTGCCGGTGCTGGGTGCTGGCTGTGCGCGTGGTGAAAACAGGGTGCCGGTGCTGGTGCTGGGTGCCGGTGCTGGGTGCTGGCTGTGCGCGTGGTGGAGACAGGGTGCCGGTGCCGGTGCTGGGTGCTGGCTGTGCGCGTGGTGGAGACAGGGTGCCGGTGCCGGTGCTGGGTGCTGGTGCTGGTGCTGTGCTGTGAGCGTGATGAAGACCGGGTGCCGGTGCCGGTGCTGGGTGCTGGCTGTGCGCGCCCGTGGTGGGTGCCGGGTGCTGGGTGCCGTGAGCTGGCGTGCCGGTACTCGGTGCTGCATGGTGCCCGCTTCTGACAGTGAAGTGATAACAACCGCCGCTTCTGACAGTGAAGGGTGACAAACCGCCGCTTTTGACAATGAAGTGCCAGCAGTCATGGGCCGCATGAACTTATGCGCGTTGAGCGTTCTTTGTCTATTAGCGCTGTGGGGTATTTACACTCTTCAGGTTCTATTTTGCCCGACAGCTGTGTCAAGGGTTGTACTGTTTGCGCGCATACTTTTGCACGTATAATGATCCACGCGCAACGTCAGGCTCTCAACCGACCATTGTTTCAGCATGTTTCAACATGCTACACACACAACAGTCGTGCTGGATACTGCTTGGGCTTGGGTGAGTGAAGCCTACGGGCTTTGCCGTTTGTGCGCATACTACTTTTGTGCGCATAAACGTGTACGCGCAAGACCATACGGCCTTATCGTTCTACAGATCGTTGCTTCAAGCATGCTACAAAGTCAATAGTGGTGCTGGATACTGCTTGGCCTTGGGCCAATGACACTTACGCGCTTTGCTGTTTGCGCGCATCAACTTATACGCGCAAGATCATATGTTGCTATTCCCCAAATAGGGATAGCTATGGAGTTCTTATTGCAAATAAAAATGAGCTGGCTGCGCGCGCTTTCAAAAGGGTGTCGGAGCTGGTGCTGGTGTTGTGGTCCTGAGGGCTGGTGCTGTGAGCTGGCTGGGCGCGTTTAAGACGGGCGGCGGCGCTGGTCGGGCGCTGGTGCCGCTGCCGGTGTTGTCAGCTGGCAAAGCGCACCGGTGCTGGTGTCAGCTGGTTGTGCGCGCTGTGGAGGTGCCGTAAGCTGGCTGCGCAGGCTGCGTACATTCTTGTTCCAGCCAGTCGCGTGTCAACAGGTCGTGGGATTCTGCCTAATTGTATGTGTACATATGTATAGCGCATAGATATCGAGAGGCGGGCCAAAAGAATCAGAACAGAGAGTGTCAAACTCAGGATGTGCTGCGTTGTGCTTGGCGGTGGAGGTTGTGGATGGACAGCGGCAAACCTGCAAACAATTTGCAGCAGAGTGTTATATAGTGTATTTTCAAACAAGTCTCCTCAATAATTGCGCAAGGGAGCCTTTGTTAGGTACCTGTGGATCAGCGCAAGATTCGGAATGAATTCCTTTGCCTAAACTAGGTGCTGAAAGACCTGGCTCAAGCGATTGAACTGGCATCTCGGCTTGAAGTTCCTCAACGTCGCATTGTTTTTGGAAAACAGAAGACACTCATTTTCCGTAACGCTCTGCTACTTTTTCAGGCGTTCAGTCGTGCTGCCAAGCGCCTAGATGCAGAAGGTGATATTCATGGTGGCCAGACAGTGCGGCTTAAGGGTTTGCAGGTGCCCTGAGATACGATTTTGAAGTTGCTGCGCACTTGGACTTTAGAACTTGATCAACAGTATTTTGAAGAACAAAGATTGGTCAGTTCTGGGCTAGACAAGCTGCTGATATGTTCACTGTTGACATGTTCAAGCTCCAGCCAAAACCATGGAATCACTGCAGGGAGCTGCTCATTTGAACGGTGAGATCGGCCTGGCTTTGCGTTTTAATGCGGACTCGGGCCGACGCTTGGACTGTCACTTATGTTCACCGGTAGATGAATGGCATCCATGTCATTCTCAATGGTTTTTGTTGACCTCGCTCGTGTCCTTGCTTGTTTGCGCTGTCGGCTTCGTTACCGGCCCACGCGTTGGACTATTTGTGCTTTTGATGTTCACTTGTTGCACTTCGAAATGCTGTATTTGCTGCGAGTTTATCAGTCTTTGCATGTTGTGCACACAGTACACGTTCTTCCGTGTTAGCGCGATGCGCGCACGGGTTGGGTATTGGATTGATGCTACGTGCAGATACGGGTTGTCAGAGAGGGGTTGGGTGGGTGGGGGGTTGGGGGTAGGCAATTTCCTGTGGAAGCGCGTTGCAGATTTGAATCAACAAGGGTTGCGCAGCACACAGCGAGCAACGCAGTGTCATTCATTGCGCACGATGCAAAGCAACAAACCAAATCTGCGCAACAAACCGCAAACGGCCTCGAAAAAATAGCAGTCCCGTTTTCAATACACATGTTGTGGAAGGGTTGCGTTTTCAACGAAGGAGAACCTCTGTGCAGCATCCCGTTTTCATGGATCAAATGGGTTTCTCGCTGTGTGCAAACGCACAAAGTCAACCAAATCGTTGGCTGGAAACGAGCCCGGCGGGTTGTGTTGTTGTTGTTGTTGTCGTTGTCGTTGTCGTTGTGGTTGTGGTTGTGGTTGTTGTTGTTGTTGTTGTTCATGGTGTGTTGTTTTGAAGGGCAGAAACTAAAACTTCAGACCAGAGCGAAAAACGCAAAACCACGCAGCTTCAAAACGTCGCGCCACCATACCATATCACGTGAACGAAAGCGCATTGCTTTCTAAAGGGTTACATAGCCGATCTACGCCAGCGCAAGCTCCCCACCCATTGGATGAATGGGATTGGTGAAAAAGGTTTTAGCCGTCAGCTCAAGCCCTCCCAGTTCGTTATTTTCCTTGGATGCAATGCAGCTATGGGTGTGAAGGATAACGTTAGCTTTCTGACAGTCTGCGCCGATGACCGTGTCAGTGTGTTGCTGGCCCACTTCGGCGGCGCTCGACTGGGCTCTAAAGGTGGAGCGCGAGTGGGTAGCGCATAGGCTGGGATTTCTGGTCCAGCCGCCGTCCACTCATGGAGAGAATCGTCGCCGGCGCTTGGAAGCTCTATGTTTGTGGACAGTGTCCGAAAACTAAGTTTGCTATCTGAAAAGCAGCAGTGGTATACGGTACGCAATCTTTCAAGGACATGGAATTGCGTGATGCTGGGGCTATGTCAGGCTCAAAACCCAACACAATGGCAAATGTCCAAATCATCACCAGGCATGCAATCCATGAACGATTGACGCAGAAATCAAGTGGCAAACCAAGCTGCACAACGGCGTCATGCGAATCATTCGCGCAAGTCGATGAAAAGTGTAACCTAGCTCGCCGAGTGCCCAAGGGTTTGATGCTTCTTCTGGAAGATTGTCGTTCTGTACAGAATGAGGGGGCGCGAAAATGGGAGATTCGCAATCAAAAGCCGTAATCCTCATGGGGCCGCAGCGGACGTTTGAGAAGTCTCTAAGGACGCGGCCAGGGGATCTGCGTGACCGAGCTTGGTGGAAGGCTCCAAGATGGGCCGCGCGTCAGCCATCAGGGTAGGAGATGACTCAGAGAAGTCCCCTGGTGGTTTCCACAATGCCGGTGTTGCCGCCAAGTCCGCGCATCAGATGCGCGGACTTGGTGGGTCCATCATCTTCTGCGCGCGCATCAGTTCTTCTCAGCGAGCTTTGCAGTGAGCAGGGGTGCTTGGGCGACGTGGGCCCAGCTAGGGCGGAGTCACGCGTTGGCCAGAAGGTCTTCTTGGCACGCGTCCCATCATGAACATGCCAAACGTGCAACCGTCAGCCATGCAATCAATCATGATTCCTGACGCATCGTGTACAAAAGGCATGCGCAAGTATTCCGTGTGAGAATGATGTATCAAGTGCAAACGTTTCTGGGCCCGTATCAACAATGGAATTCCAAGGTAGTTCTGCAAAGGAGGATCTTGAGTGTCTAGCTGAACGAAACTAATTAATAAGAGATGAAAATCTTTCTTCTGAGGCTGGAGGTCAAGGATGCAACAGTGATTTTTCACAGGAAGGAGTCGGGTGGGCTTGCTGAACATTGCCGCCGAACGCGATGAGACGGAGAAAAGCTTTTGCGCGGTTCTTGTCCAGTGCGTTCGTTTTGGCAAGAACTCTAGCGGTGTTCCATTGATCATATTGCGCCTCGCCGGCTGTTTCACAGCCCTGAGCGTAGAAATCGATGGAATTGGGGTCGTGAAGGGCGCTCGGCCGAAATTCTCATGGCCGCGAAAGATATGCTTGACCCCACGGTTGGTGGCCCTCCACTGTGAGGGAACGGTGGAAATGTTGGAGCGTGGAGCTTTGGAATGTAGTGCGTGAACAGGCTTGTCTGCTCATAGTCCTGCAAGTGCTCCTTCCATTCGCTGTGGATCCAGTGTTGGGCCTGAGCTTGGATGTTAGCGGCGTGGAGCAATCTGGCTATGTAGCGGAATCGGTGTATTCCCTGTTGGATGAAGTTGATCAGAGTGGTGTTGCAGGAAGTGATAGAGCTGTGCCGGTTGATCGTGGCTGGCGACGCTGTCGTGGTCAGCCTGGGTGTAAGCGGTGGATGGTCGTCGTGTGGGGTGGGGAGGATCCACAGCCCATTGTCTCTTGTGTGAAGTAGCGGATGAGGCTGTGCTGGCGTAGTCCGCGTTGGGGGCTAGTCGAATGGCTTGTCGAGGCGGTGTGCGTGATCGTTGGCGGATGGGTGGTGGTGCCCAGACGCCTCGAAGTTTGCTGTTGCTGAGGTGGCTGAGGCTTTCGCGGTTGTGATGGTTGAGGCGGGTGGTGTGGATGGTGGCTGTGTTGTAGCCAGATATGAGGCGGAGGTGTTGGCGGTACCGCCCGGGGTCGTGGCAGCGGTGTGGGTGGTTGAGGTGGTGCCGGAGGTGGAGCTGGCTGGTGGGCAGTTGCTGTGGAAGTGGAAGTGGAAGAATGCCCCGGGTGTGGCGGAGGCTGCTGTTGAGGTTGAACAGGTGGACTGGTTGGCAATGGCATGACTTGTGGAGAGGTGGTGTACACTTCCTATCACCACACTAGCCCATCCCGACTTTTATGAACATCCGGTGGAAATTGAGCCAGTAGACGATGACCACCTACTCGGTTTCCACATTGACCCACTCAACAGAACAATAACCTTTCAACTCCCCACGCACCCGTGGCAGATTCGTGATCCACACTCTGCCGGGAGTTACAGACTTCCACTTTCAGGCCTACAATCAAGACATCACACCCTACGCCAGTATACATACCCACAGCACTTGGCGCAGACTACATCCCAACAGTTGGTGCAGCTCTATATGACAAAAGGTCATTCCAAAGAACACTGTGCTGCAGCGCTGCGGCCCCGTCGAGAAAAAGACAGCTTGCTTGCTACAGACTGAGAAACACATCACTTGCATGCTTACAACCACCTACACTAGTTGCGCCGGTTTCGGCTTTCTGTGTGTGTCAACCCCTGTTTCCAAGGGAACTATTCTTGCTATTCGTGCTCGCTGAATTGAAGTGCTGTACAGAAACTCAGCAGGGGGGCAGTGAATCTCATTTGATCCACTGCCCAACGAAGACGGTGGTTGAGATTGTGAAATGACTCCGGGATGCTGGAGTCACGTACCTGCCGAATTGTTGCACTTGATTCCTCAACGATTTGTTCAAACATTCTGGTCGACCGACTCAGCACTTTCTTTTAGTCAAGGTCTAATTTGCAGTAATTGTAAAGTGCTAATGCTCACCGCGGACCGACTGAAGACAAGCTCCACGGAGCAACCTTCTCAAGTGTGTGTGTGTGTGTCCGTGTGTGTGTGTGTGTATGAATACCTGGCGCTCTAGAATTACTGAATACTTAGACGAAGTGAATTAGGCGCACTAGTTAGGGAGCGGGCCTTTTGTCTTACACCGCCCGGGTAGAGTAGAGTAGAAAAGGGGGAACAGAGGGAAAGGCACCCACGCGCAAGTGTGTCGAGTACCATTTCCCTCTGAGTTACCCTAATTAGAGGGAGGGGGGGGGTTGGGGTGTTTGGGGTAGAGAACACGTCGGGGTTTATTCTCCGTATGCCCGGCGGCTTCGAGTTTCCGTGAAGCCCGGCGGCTTTGATTTTGAGAATACAGTAGTGAAACGAAAGTCGGTTAAGATAATCCAACGCATGCAGAAAACCGTTGAGTCAGTTACACGGTAGTCCGGAGTGAGAACGGCGCCTCCTTGCGGAGGATCACACTGTGCGCCCAAGTGGGACGGCGCAGCGGCGCACACTTTGACAATGGGTTTGCAGTTAACTCTTTTCCCAGGTCGAAAAGGGTGAAGGAACGGAAAGGCGAGTGAGTCCGAAAACTTGAAGATGTTTAACAAAGGCTTTGCGTGACTGCGGAGGCTAGTTACTGCATTAGCACTTTACTGTAAGAACGGTAAGGCGAAAGGGTCCGAAGAACAGAGCTGCTTAACAAACTCACTAGCACTTTACCAAAGCTAAGGAAACCTGTTTTGGGGGATATCATGCGAAGAACCACCATGGAAACAAAAAAGGAAAAGTGGAGTCACAGCGTGAACAACAGTTTTTAGCAGGTACGTGGAAATGGCGTCCCATTTCCATATCCTCGGATGCATCGCCAGCTTCGTTGACCAGGCGACGATGCATCCTGCCTGGCCCCCTGCTTGTGGAAAACTCTTAGGATCAGTGTGTGACACGCACACTTAGGATAGGGTGTACTGACTTGATAGCGGTGCCACACGCCAGCCTAGGGTTCCAACTCCTAAGAGTACCGGTAGGGAACCAACGAATCCTGGGGGTTTTCAAACGGAGAAATGGCCCAAAAGGAAAAGAAAAGACCGAGCGACGGACGAACAGGCTGACGACGTTCCGCTCACATCTGCAGCTTGAGGTTCTTGGCTTAGCCTCGTGCCATTTCAGAAAAAGAAAACTTGCAGG